ACGCTGACTAATTCGTAACGGCAACTCTCATTTAGGCTCTTTACTTATGTAGAGAGATTTGAAATGAATACTTTCGAGTACTATTCATAATTATACTCGCTGACTCCACAGTTACAGGGCATCTGCTGGTCGTGCACGCGCACAACTAACTCATTCTCGTTATTTTCTTTGCTACAGTCAGGAAACGCAGCCAAGTGTTAGCCGACATTTACACGCTGCTGCTGCTGCTGTTGTTGTTGTTACTGCTGCTGCTGCGCTGCTTCCGTTTGGAGCTGGTTTTTCCCAGCGTGTGTCTTAGAAGGCGAAGCCAAAGGCAACAGAACTTGAAAACCAATGGCTTCTAGAACTGCTGCTACTGCTACTGCTACTGCTGCTGCTGCTGATGCTGCTACGGCTGCTGCCTGTGGGTCGCAGTGGTGCGCGCACTTTCGCAGTTTTACGCTCTCGTGGGCCTCGAGTGTGGATTGGCGCTCGCTACACTAACAAAAGTTTATCGCTTTGTTTCCGTTTCCGTTACGCTGCCGTTACGTTACGTATACGCCGTGTGCCTGGCGGGCTGCCGTTCTGGCTAGCTCCCTAAAGCGTAACCTCCAGACGCTCATAAGATGTAATTTCAGCGCTTTGTGCGGGACGTCTGCGACTGCGGGTTCTGTGCACAGTTTTACCTAAGTTAGCTCGACGAAGCCAAAGTTTTTCCACAGAACATTTGATTTTATTTATTTATTTCGATTTGTGCGCTTTTCTTTTGGCCAACTTGTTGTTGTTGTTTTAGCTGCTCCTGCTGCGTTTTGGCCTACGTAACAATTTCCTTCCTATCGGCCCTCGGGCGTCTGTGTGCCTGCCCTTGCCTTTGCCACATGCCCCGTGCCCCATGCCCCGTGCCCCGTGCCCCACGCCTTGTGCTAATGTGCATTTCATTTTCCGTTTTGCCGTTCTGCCACACTCAATTCGTTGGCCATTTCTGGTCTTGTCTTGGCCCAGTCAACAGTGCTCTTCTGTGCTGTATATGACATATATTGTTTTGCAAAGATTTCTTTCGTTCGTTTTTCCTTTTCGGTTCCTTTTGGTTTCCTTGGCGCCTCAGGAGCCACTTAATTTCCAACTTACATTCCAATCACGTGCATATCTATGCCAATCTTTATTTTGCTTCTGCAACTTTTAAGCTCGTTTCCCGTTTACACGCCCACAGCCCTTGTTGCTTGTCTATTATTTCTATATAGACGCACATGCTCTATACGATTGTTGTGGGTGTTTGCCCTTTTCTTTTCACATCATATTTAAGCGCTTAGGGAGGGTCTTATAATTTGCTCATGAAACGTGCGACGTGCAGGAAAAGATCCTTGAATCTATGGATTATGCGTGTAGTTGATATTGGCTCGTTTCTCTGTCTGTTTGGAATAATGTTCTATTGAAACTGTGCTCGCTTGGGAGCTATACAGATGAAACTTATAATATAAAGAAAGACATATATAAGGCTTATTATAACATTGTCATAGGAATAGATGGCTCGATTTTGCTATTTAGTTGGAAAACCCCTATTATTTTGCCAATTTCTTGCAAAGAATAGTATTAGTTGAAATTATATGTTCATTTTTCTTACTCGGACGAATAGTTGATAAGATATGGCCCTGTAAATCGATCCCTACTGCTTAATGTTCTATCGTAACTCGGCTCTCTTGGTAGTTATACAGATAATACTTGGTATATAAGTTAGTTTTAGCTACAGGAGAATATATACAAAGAACCAAATGGATAGGTTTATTATATCATATAATAGATGGTTCCAAATTGAGTTCAAGTTGGAAAAAACTTATTATTTTTGTAGATTTCTTGCCAAGAATAGTATAATTACAAAATATATAGATCTTCTCTGCTTAGACGATATAAATTATAAACGATATATATATATAAATGCGATATAGTCCTGTAAAACTATCCCTACTACTAAGTGTTCTATCGAAACTAAGCTCGCTTGGGAGCTATACTGATAAAACTTGGTATAGAAGTTAGTTTTATCTGCAGGAAGATATATTTAAGGAACCAAAGGTATAGCTTTATTATATCATATAGTTGTCATAGAAAAAAGTTGTATTTTATTCAATTTTTGCTTCAAAAACCTTTTGGATTAAATAGATTCCTTTAAGAAAATAAGCCTATATTTATTTCCTACATTTTTTCATGATTTAATAACTATATCATATAGAAGAAATAGTTCAAACTTTATGTGCTGCATACTATACACTATCAAACATGATATGCTAGAGTATTCAAGCTGCGGTTAGGCGCTGTCTAAAATTTCCCTGTGGATCTGCCATTTATACCATATACAGCATGTGCTGGTATATTTCATATTGTGCTTCCTTATTTTTGTTCCTTTTTTATTTGTTGTTGTCTGTGAAGCCATATTATTGTTTTGCGCGTCAACACGGCGCACGTGAAGCATGTCTATTATAATATCTATCACTTTTTCTGGCTTTTATGTGTTTCTTTTTTCTTGGCATATGCGCGAATATATTTTATGTGTATATGTGTCTGTCTGTGTGTGTGTCTGTGTGTGTGGGGAAATGTTGTAGGCGTCCTTGCCAAGCCAGCTCAGGCCAAGTTGGCAGGCTCTGATTCTGCTTCTCGTTTGGCTTCGGTCGGACTCATAATTTTGTATGAACTGCCGCTTGGCCTGCAACTGACACCTGAAACTGTGGCCACAAAATTCACCGCACACACACACACACACAAATTCTCACGGACTTTATGCTTAGTTTCTTCAAGTTTGTTTGGCCCAAAAGTCTGTGTGGCATGTTGAAAGCTGCTGGCCGCACAGCTCCCATATTGTCGCATTGATCCAAACACGTTTTGAGCTGAGCCAGAAAGGGCAGCAGGGCGGTCACGAGGGGGTGGGGGAGGGGGGGGGGGCGTGGCCCAAGTCCAACTGTTGAAAGTTATGAGCACAGCGCGTGCAGGGGATTAAAACACGTGGCAAGAACTCTGCACATATATATATTATATATATTGTATATAACATCTTTTGACATTAATTAGCAAAATGTTGCAATGTCTTCGAGCGCCAATGCGCCGTATACGTGATTTGTGCGGCAAGTGCAAGCGCATTAAGCTGCTGCATGCAACTTTTTGATTGCCATCATTTGTCAAAATGGCGCGTGCGCTGCTCATTTGCATTTCGCAAATGCAAACGCAAACCCATTGCCCTTTGGCCTTTGAACCCCGCCCGCCCGCCTGCCGCCTGTTGCCCTGCATTTTGATTTGGCACACATTCGCGCCGCATTCAATATTAACGCAGCTTTAATTAATTACAGCAGCATGTGCAATCAGGGTCGCAGCGGCAAAAAAAAAAACAGAAATAATAAATTAATAAATCGCTTCAAATTAAGTAAAAATGTAAACAGAGAGCCGAGCCCGGCCAGCGACAGTTGCGTCATGTGGCATTCGCGCGCCTCGCATTGATAATGGCTTAAATATAACGACAAACAGCAAATGTCAACGGAAAGCGGCAACTGCAACTGCAACGGCAACTGCAACGTGCCACGGGCATCGCGCAGCCGGAGGCCTTGCACTTAATCCATTATGCAATCGCTGCCATTATCACTTCTGTAATATATTTATTGTAGTCGTAAAAATATTAAAAAAAAAAGGGCAACAATTGCAGCGTTGACAACTACAATGCTGCTTAACGCTCAGATAAAATAGATATATATACAAAGTATTAACAGAAAGAGAGAGATGGCGAGAGAGAGAGAGAGCGCTATTATAGACATAGGTCGAAATTTCCCACATCCATAACTCAGTCAAAACTCAACCAATTTTCATAAGGTTTGGCTCGTAACTCATGGTTTGACCTCTAGATCGATTTGGCATCAAAATCTGGCAACATGTTTTCTGGTCAAAATTTAAGTATAAATGGTACCCTAAAATATTCTATATAGACATGGGTCAAATTTTCCCACACCCATAACTCGGTCAAAAACCAACCGATTTTCAAAAAGTTTAACTTTTTGTTCATGGTTTGGCCTCTAGAAAGATTTGGCATCAAAATCTGGCAACATGTTTTCTGGTCAAAATTTAAGTATAAATGGTACCCTTAAATATCCTATATAGACATACATATGTAGGTCGAAATTTCCCACACCCATAACTCGGTCAAATCTCATCTGATTTTCAGGAAGCTTGGCTTTTAGTTCATGGTTTGACCTCTAAATCAATTTGCCATCTAAATCTGGCAACACTATTTTTGGTCAAAATTCATGTGAAAATGCCTCATATATCCCATATGTAGGTCGAAATTTCCCACATCCATAACTCGGTCAAAACTCAACCGATTTTCATAAGGTTTGGCTCTTTGTTCATGGTTTGACCTCTAGATCAATTTGGCATCTAAATATGGGAACACTATTTTTAGTCAAAATTCAAGTGAAAATGGAACCCCTAAATATCCCATATAGACATGGATCAAAATTTCCCACACCCATAACTCGGTCAAATCTCATCTGATTTTCACGAAATTTGGCTTTTAGTTCATGGTTTGACCTCTAGATCAATTTGGCATATATATCTTGCAACATTATCTTTGGTCGAAATACATGTGAAAATACCTCAAATATGCCATATAGACATATGTCGAAATTTCCCACATCCATAACTCGGTCAAAACTCAACCGATTTTCATAAGGTTTGGCTTTTTGTTCAGAGATTGACCTCTAGATCAAATTGGCATCAAAAGCTGGGAACACTATTTTTTGTCAAAATTCAAGTGAAAATGGTACCCTGAAATATCCTATATAGATATAGGTTGAAATTTCTCACACCCATAACTTAGTCAAAACTCAACCGATTTTCATAAGGTTTGGCTTTTTGTTCATGAAATTTCCCACACCCATAACTCGTTTAAATCTAGTCGGATTTCCACGAGGTTTGGCTACTTGTATATTTATTTTATAGGTTCCACAGGCAAGGCCGGCGTATATATAAGGATGGATATTATAAGCTGATCGATTTTATAATGCGTGCCTGTGGGGTTTTATTTGCCAGCCCGTTGTCAATTGTTTATTAAGAATCGTATTTGTGGGATAATCGAGGGACAATCAGTGTGCGATGTTTAGTGGTCGGGCAGATAGGACAACTTTTCGCTGAGCTCCATCTGGGTCTTGATCATGGTGGACAGTGTAATGCTCATGAGCATGTTGCGGACATTCGCATTGAACATGAGACGAAAACTCTCCGCATCCAGAAGCGGCACCGAAGTCAGAGCATCGTGCAGAGCACGTCCAATGTTGTTGTCCGGCCGACGTTTGCGTGCCAGGACATCGTTGATGTAGCGCATCACCAGCTCCAGCTTTTGCTCCAGCTCACGTGTCGCCTCCATCACGTGCACCAGCTCCGGCAGCATGCGGCCCAGCTGCTTGGTCGGATGCAGCGCCTGCTTCTGCATCAGTCGGAGCGCCACCGACTCATCCCCCTCCGTGTTCAGCTTGAGCAGCGGCAGCAGCGTGAACAGCAGCCCCCGCGTACCGCCCGGCACGCCCATCGTGACGCCGCAATAGAGCCGTGTGCTCAGATGTCCGCCGCGCAGCGTCGTATCAACCAGCAAATGCAGCGGCTGCAAATCGCCGCATTCGCGCGAATAATACGCATGCAGGGCGGCCGCCGAGCGCGACAGGGATTTGCCTGTGCTATACCAGCCGATAATCTTCTCCTGCGGATAGGTGATCTGATTCAGTTCGAACATCTCGCTGGCGTACTGTGTGTCCAGCTTGAATTGCTCCATTTCGCCGATCTGCTGCTCCTTGTGCTGCACCGTGTAGCTGTTCGTTATTTCGATAATGTCGTTGCATCTGTCGCGGCGACCCAAAAGTGTGCCCACAGCCATTTTGGCCGTTTTGGGGCGACGCTCATAGGCGGCAATAATCTGGAACAGCACCAACGGCTGCAGACGCACCTTGGTCTGCAGTCTATAGTTCGAGATCGACATGTTTGGAGCGTGAAATGTGTGTGAGAAATGCAAAACTGAGAATTGAAAGTTCCAAAACAGCTGCGTGAAGTTGGCTGCAATTCAATTGAAACAGGGCCAGTGTTGTGTAATGCGTTGTGTGGGGCAGTGCTGTAAAAGCTTTGCTCAGCGCAGTCAATTAGTTAGAGAGAAGCACATTTAGTTAAGAAATTTAGCTAAAAAGTTAACTTGGTTAAATGTTTTATAACATTTCGATCTTAAGCATAGAATTTAGTCTTAGCTAAAAGCTGGCCTGCGAACTAGTTCCAGCGTAAAAGTACCTGGAACTTGTTCTCTCAAATCCTTTATATAAGAAAAAGTAAAGTTCCCGCTAAAACAAGCTACATAAGCTGCTCAATGCGTGGGTTATATATGGAATATACCTCTTATTATTCCTCAAAAATATAAAGTTTCACTTATATACGATCATTTCTACAAGTGTAATAGTCTATTCCTAGCCTAGCCAGCTTAAATTGTCTTTAAATTCTCAACTTTGTAAAGTTTATTGAAATTTCCAAACAAAACAAAACCATTTACAGTGCTCGACATCGATAAAAATCGATTACCCAGATGGCATGGCTATCTACGAGCACCTCACAAAACGCTTGAAAGTGTCAAAAACATTTCTCTGCCCCTCTCCACCTCTCTCTGTGTCATTGTTGCAAATTTGGTTACTAACAAGCATATCCTTTATGTCTCATGCACGGCCCGTCGACCCGACTTCCACTTCCACTTCCACTTGAACGAACGGCCTTTTGCGCTTGACCGCCCCCGTCCGGGTTGCGACATATGGAAATGCCATAGAAAAGAAATACATATACACACATATACATATATATATATAGGCAAATAGTGTGGGGAAAAAAATTAGGAAATTCCTGGCAAACACTTTGATTTTGCCTTGGCAAAAATTTGCACAACAGCAAAGTTTTCAATTTATAATCAAAACAAGTGAGACACATGGCGAATGTGTCCAGGACTAGCTGATTAGTACGCTGACCCTAACAAAAAGTTTTGCCGATTGAAAATTCGGGCATATTTGTTGTAGTACTTTTAGAGTATAATTGGTAAAATAGATCAAATATGAACTCCTCTGTAAGTTGACTTAAAACTGTTCCTCTATGGGAGCTGGGAAGGCAAATTCTGCGGATAGATCAAATATGAACTCTTCTAAAAGACGGCTTGTAAATTATTATGTACTCGCCTATTTTTGCCTCCTCGATTCGGGATAATCTTTATTTTCTTAAGTTTCGGAGGCAGAGTTAACAAATTCTGCGGAAATATGATCATATATGAACTCCTCTATAAGTTGACTTTGGAACATTTTAGGACCAGGACTACTCGTGACTGCCCAGCTCGGGAAAATCTATATATAGTACAGTTTTGGGGGTAGGTTAGGGAAATTCTATGGAAATATGATCATATTCCCATATATGAAGTCTGTTAAAAATTCAATCAAAACCTTCTTCTATTCGGGAATATCTATATCTATATTTTCTACAGTATTAAAGGTAGAGTAAGATAATTATTATGGGGGTTTTTTTAGTATATGAACTCCTCTATAAGTTGACTTAAAACCTTTTTATGACCACGCCTACTTGTGCTTCCTCAATGTAGAGAAATCTTGATTTTCTATAGAGTTGCAACTAGAGTAAGCAAATTCTGGGGATAGATCATATAATACCTCATCTATAAATTGACTGAAAACTTATTTTGACCACGCCCACTCTTGCCTCCTCAAATTGGGCTGTGCTAGAGGGATCAAGTGTGGCATAAGGACTAATGCTGAGTTTTCCCAAAGATCGAACCAAGTATTTGTGTGCCACGCCCAGTCACGCCTTCTTTAAATCGATAATATGTAAATCCTCTACAATTCTAGAGCTAAATCAATCTAAATTGATATAAGAACAGTCGCTGATCTGCTCTAAAGTTCAAGCCCCAAATCGATCATAAGAATCGATAACACTCGATCAAATTGAAGCTCCAATCGAACTGTGCCAGAGTATTGTGCAGTCGTTGCGACCCGACTGCAAATGCCTTTTGCTTCGATTCTTGTTGTTGTCGCTCGGCTTGGGCCTTGGCCAAGGGCATGTGTTCATTCATTCAATCATCATGCATTCATGCATTCACTCCAGCTAGCCGAAGCTAGTAAAAAAAAGGGAATATATATAAAAAACTGTTAAAAAAAAAATGGGGGATTTTGAAAGGTGCGCAAAATCCTTTTTACGTATTCAGCAAACAGCGGCGACGTCGTGTCCTTTCATGGTTAAATGCGTTTCTTTGGTTAGAGTTAGTGGCCAAATGTGGGCGAGTGTGTGTGTGTGTGTGAAAGGATTAGGTATGCCAGGATTTTTATGATTATACTCATCCTCTTAGCTGGGCTCTGCGCTGACGCCTCTGAATGATGGCCATAATGCAGACACGCGCGCGACCCAACAACATCCTTTGAGTTATGACTGGCACAATTTCTCTTCAGCTTTATCAGCTGAGTGCGAGTGTGTGTGTGCGAGTGTGTGTGGGTATGTGTGTGTGTGTGTGGGTGTGTGCCTTGTGTTCTCTAAATTAGATTCCACTAAGCGTCCTCCTGCTAGAGACATGCTCGCTGATTAGCCACTAGCTCATTATTTAGCGGTTAGTTTAGCCTTTTTTTTGTTGCTGTTTTTTGGCCGTGACTCAGCTAGTGCATTAGTCATGTTAATTAGGCGTATGGCGGACGCTTATCATAATGTGTGTAATTAGGTACATTAGAGACGCACAACTTGTCCTCAAATCTACATTAAATTGCATTTTAAATTTTTTTTAACGTACATTTCTGCAATGCAACAGCAGCAACAACAACTACAACAACGACAACAAGCTGCTCTGAGAGCATCATCATTTGGCCGTAAAAAAATATGCTACACTTGGCCCAGCGGCAGTTTTGTGTAATTGTACAGTACACGCTGCCACAGAGCGAACGGCAACAGCAGCAGCAGCAGCAGTTTGTGCAAGTGGCGTCTATTAAACATGAGCACACACTCACACATACACACACTCACACATACACACACTCACACTCACACACTGGCGCACACAATTCTAGATAAAGTGAAAGGCAGGTGCGGATGCGGGCGCTGCTTCCTTTTATATACTCTTCTCAAGGCTCTTTGAATTTGGTCATGGAATATGTAACGAACTGTGGAAGAAGTCTCAGAAGTTCCATAGGGCATATATATTCTCGATCAGCTTAAAGTCAGGTCTGTATGTCTGCAAACTGATCGCTACGTATTAAAGCTAACGTCCTCAAACTTTGCGCACTTCCAACTTTCTTTTGCCAAATATGTCGAAATATGTTCAAACTTTACAGATCAGCCCACTATAACTGTCGTAGGAAAAGTCGGTTAAAAGTAAGCTGTATGAACAACTTTACTTCTTTTTTTTTAATATCTTGACCAAACTGGGAATATAATATAAGCTCCAAATATGTGAGCAAAATCTTAATAAAATCGGACTTTATCATAAAGCATTTCCCGGAAAGAACGTTTTTTATTTTTAGTTTTTAATTAAAATGTGAAAAGGAAAGATATTTCAAAATTTAAGTTTTTATATGGCAAACTTGGTTGTTTTTCCAAAAATCTTGAGCAAAATCGAAATTTATTGTTTATTTTGATTTATTTTGATCAATATCTTATTAACAACTAACTTCTATATAATAAAGTTGTTCCGGAAAATTTGAAAATTTATTTTTTGCATGAATAACTTGTTTGTTTTACAAAAAATCTTAACCAAACTTCGCTTTTTTACACATAAGCTATAACTCTATAAGAAGAATCGGTCGCGTATTAAATTTTTGTGGGGTAAATTTTCACTTTATCAAAATATTATCACCAAATTCGGAAAATAAAAAATTTCACATCTGCAAACCCGTCTCAAAGCAATCTTCTAAGGAAACAAAACGGTCGGAAATGAAGTTTCTGTATAGAAGCATATCTTAGCCACATAAGGGTATACAGTCTTCGGCGTTCAAAGCAGCTCTCTCAATGCTATATTTTTTATTTTCACTTACATGAAGGCAGCTAGCTGCTGGAGGCTGCTGTTCGCAGAGCGCTATCAAGACAGCAAACAAAACCAATGCAGAGGAGAGCATAACACAAGGCAGCACAGGCAGAGGGGCAGCCAGGCAGAATCATCGCATTCTGGCCAAGACCCAGCCCAGCTACGTTCCGGCCAAGCCAAAGCGAGCGTGTTAACAGTCAGCAGCTTTTGAGCCAAAGGCGAAAAAGGTATGTGCGAACATTTTTCATCTGAATCTGCGGCGACTATCGTCGCCTGGGCTTAGCATTTTGGCCAAGTTGGCGCTCCGGCCAAATGGTTGCCCGTTAAACGCGTGCCGGCCAGATAAGTTTCTATTTGCTGTCACAATTGTCGTTGGCCAACTACTGTTGACAAATACCCAGGGGGGAAATTTGCCACACCCCCACCCATCACTACTACGCATATCATTTGAGCCACACAGATAAGCGCCAGAGAAACGCAGCCAAAATGTGCGAACATTTATGTAGATTTGAACCATGGCCTAATGATGGCTTTAAAAGCAGCCTTAAATTGTCGGGGACAAAGGTCAGCTACGTCTTCTGCTTTGTTCTGCAGCTCGATCAGGTCTAAGCAAAAGTTGCAGCGTACTCCTATAATTGTATGTATGTGTGAGCGAGACAAGCAGTATATGCACTTGTCAAGCTCTGCTTGCAAGAATTGGAGCCAAGTACAAGAGTAAAAGTACCTTAGAATATATGTATGAGTGCGAGCGAGGAAGAACTTGCTAAGCTAAGCTTGTAATATTTGATGTAAAGAAGAACTAAAAGCAAAAGTGATAATGCGCTTGCCGGGATGTGTGTGAGCGAGACAAGCAGTTGCAGCACTTGATAAGCTCTGCTTGCAGGAATTAAAGAGAAGGAGCAGAAAAAAATGCAGAGCACTTGCGAATGTGTGTGTATGTATGTATTGTATGCACAGAAATATATGTGCATGTAGGTCGGTGCATATGTATGTACATATGTTTGCAGGCTTGCCTGTAGGTATGTATTTAG